TGCTGGGAAGCCTCTAGACCTCCTGAGTTCCTAGGCAAATTCTTCATTTTATTACAGCTGCATTTGTATGGAGGGCCCCCATGTTACACCAGTAAGATAAATAAAGGGTCAACCAATGTCACCACTGGCATATTAATTTTTACGGGCCACAGCAGTAGTGACAGAGTAATGCAGGGTTTTTTTACATCTGCAGCCAGCAGACCTAAAAGAACACCACTGTTTCCCCTCCTAACTACAATCATTGTTAGCCTGGAGGCAGCAGGAGTTACCAAGGGAGGGATGCCTACAGCGAGCAGCAGGTTATGCAAACAGTTTCATAACCTGCTGAGGAGAGGGCAGCAGGCAGGGGAACACGAACTTCCGCTCCAAATCAGTCCTCAACTTCTTTTTTTTTTTTTTTTTGATCTGTACATACAGTTCTGTGCTTCCAGGGCACACAACTACTCTGGAAATTCAGCACCTGGCCTGCTGCCTGGCATCAAGCAGTTAACTTTGTATACAAGATGAGAAAGTGAACGACGTGTCCATGAGATAACACCAATGTCTTGTCATTGCACCCACTGCATCTCCCCCGCTTTGTGTTCTTACTCCTGTTCGTGTGCATGTATCACATACTTTTTGTCACTGTAAAACGACCTGTGAAGTCTGATTAGAACAATTCTCTTGTGTGTAAGGAGAAAAGCAGAGAGCCAAAAAAATATCTGCTGTGCTGTATCTGACTCCTCTTCAGAGAAGAAGAGAAACAGAAAAAAAATTGACAACCATAAAGCTTCTACAGAAGGAACGGCAACAGGCAGCTTTTGGAAATTTCAGTTTTTCCTTTGTTCTTGCATTTTTGTGCAAGATCTCTGTCCCTAAAATCCATGCCATGTTAACTATGAAATCTACTGAAAACTCAGGAATGCAAAATGTGAAGCTGCAAACGATGCAAGAGCAACCAAGCACATCTAAACAATTCTTTCAGAAAACACCAGAGTGCACTACTGCGTAGTTGAGATGATTTACACGCAGACTAAACAATATTATGGGGGTGTGAATTTGGCCTACTTTAGCAGAAATAACCTACACACTGCAAACAGCAATTTTCTTAGGCTTGGGTTTTTGATTTTTAAGGCAAGAAGACCTGATGTTTAGTGCTCCTTAACACCTGACTTCCTTAATGATTTTCTCTGCTGTCAAAACCAGGCTGAATTAAAGTATGTCTCAAAAGTCAGAGGCACTGAACACAGTTACCCAAGATGATGCATTTGACTTAATGATGAGATCTGCCATCAGAATGTACTTAACACAATAATGTCTCTGGTTCAATTTGGCAGAATGGCTGATCAAAGGGCATGTTTTGCACTTTCAGGTGATAGAGATGCTAAGAGAGGTGTTCATTATTGAATAACCAGAACTTTTAAGCTTTCTTATGTGTTTCCATTGTAAATCACAGAATCATTCAGGGCAGAAGACACCTTAGGAGATTTGTAGTACAACCTCCTCCTCAAAGCAGGTTCATAGTGAATTCTAACTATGTCACTTAAACTTTGTCCAGCTGGTCCTGAAAAGCTCCACAGATGGAAATTCCAGAGCTGCTCTGGGGAACCCACTCCTGTGTCTATCCTCCTTAAAGAGAATGTTTTCCCTTTCACCTAGTCAGAACCTCACTTGTATCAGTTTGTGACCATGACCTCTTTTTTTCCTACCACAGCAGTCAGTGAAGAGCATGGCTCTGTACTCTCCATAGCCTCCTCATATGTATTGTGGAGTGGCTACTAAGTTCCCTCCACCTCCCCAAGTCTTCTCCAGGCTCAACATGACCCATTCCCTTGATCTTTCCTCACAGGAGTATACTCCAGTTCTGACCATCTCAACAGCTCCCCATCACATTCACTCCAGTCTTTCTTAGATCTTAACTATATGTGTTAAATACATATCCTTTCACACACAGGCTCTCTGAATGCCTCATATTGCTTTTCTTGGAGCCTTCCCTTGTCAAAGTAGCAAATACTTGTGTTGTTTCAGTGGGAACCTAAATGTAAGGATCCCGAGGCAGGTGGACACCTCACATTGCACTGAATTAGCAGTAGGTCTGGGTATCAGGGGTCTCTCCGCCTGCAGGAATGTAGACAAACATTTTTGCCTCCTGTTCCTCTGTCAGGAAAATAAAGACAAATTCAAAGACCTCCACTGAAATGGATTTCCTGAGGTACTTACATATACAGGGACCAACTGGTTTACCTAAAAGGAATGAAACAGCAGGTTTCATTCACAAGGTACCCAAAGACTGCATTAAACTCACCACAAACACTTCTCAATTCATCCTTTCATTAATGAATAGCACTTTCATATCCAGAAGGTAACTGAAATGTCATGACTGGTTTCCGGTGCTAAACACAATTAAATGGTAATGCAGCTGATACAAGCACAGGGCTGTTATACTGAGGTGGGGTACTTCAGTTAACATCCAACTTTTAAACATTTTGAAAGCAGGATCATTACAGTTGCTGATTTGCTGATGGCAGAAAGGGGAAAATTTTCTTTTGGTGAACTGATGAAACCTCCTCTTTTCTCCTGCTACCAGTATGGTGGGCAACTGATTCTCCCAGACTTCTCTCAATGCAAGTCATTGTCTCATTTTTGAGGTCATTAGTGTTGTAGTGGAAAACATTCCCTCTGCACAGTGGATTTTGTTATCAGATAAAAAGTTTTAAAATATTTAAAAGCACACCTCGAGAAAATGTGCAACCTTCTGCTAACACTGCAAAAAGTTCCCTAATAAATATCACTTTGATGAATTCTGCACGTTTGCCAATCTAACAATTATATTCATGTCTATGACAGAAATAAGGGAATAGGTGTACTACTATATTTTTTACTCACAACACAGGAGCCTGGCAATGGTAACTGAAATTACAAATGAAAATTAGCCCCACTGGATTCATGGCAGACAAAAACACAGCTAACATTTTATCAGCATTCAAGCTGTATTTCTGCCTTGTACATACAATCTTCTGCACTGATCCTGTGTTCATGGCTTGTTGTTCTTTCCGGATATTTCAAGTGGTTTGGAAACAGAGAACTATTTTAAGTTTTTTGATATAAGGCTCCAAGTTTAATGATTGGACAGTTACGATCTGGAATTGTGTAGCGAGAATTACAAATCTGTGAGTAAAGCTAGAGAAGTACTTCAGTGAAGACTACCTTGCAGAAACTCTGTAATGGCAAACACAGAGAACTACGACTTCCTACAGTTTGAAGTTATCCAATTACATCCCTGCTGCGAAGGTCACCTGGGAACAAAAGGGATCATTGTTAAATATTAATGCGAATATAAACATGTCGTAATCTGACAACAGGCCATTAGGTCTTGTTTTGTGTTTTGATGAAATTTATGCCAGTTGCCCACGTTGCCAAGTGAGTTACTTTTCAGAATATCTACTGAACCCAAACATTAATATTACCACTAACAGGTCCTGATAACACTGAACTCTGCAGATGCATCACTGATGAACACTTCTGATCTGCTATGTTTAGAAATGTAAATGTATTCTTACACTACTCTTATTTCTACAATCTTTTTTTCCCTGCTGGCTGAAACTCATCATTGTAATACAAACCTCATAATATTGAAAATATTAATATTAATGAAAATGTGTTCACAGTGTGAAAGTAATGACTCAGACCTGTAACTTCTCTTACACATTCTACGAACAATCTCTTAGGAAACAAGTGTCAAATACCATGGCTTTATACAAGTAGCACCAGTTAAAATTTTAAGAAACACACAAGTACGTTTTCAAAAATCTTATTTTTATTGTTTGCACAAACTGTATCATCATTAACAGCTTTCATCTCTAACAAACTAAAGCAAATCAGCACACACAAAAACCTATGCAAACTCAGCACTCCTAAAGCAGAACCTTGGTTATTTAAATGCACACCTGAGTGTGTAACAAGCCTAGGGACAATTAGTTCATCCTAACACTTTAAACACAGTCGCTCCAGTTTCATGCATTTTTCTGGGCTGTTAAAAAGTTTCATTTTAGGGGCACAAAAAGAAAACAGCTACAAGACTTACAGAGAAAACTCATTTTTAAACCAAAATTCTTATGTCTAAATTGTTAAACTACAGCAAGGACCCTTCTTCAGCTGTAGTAATTTTGCTCTGCAAAACAAAACAAAAACAATTAGTCACTTTGCTGTATTAGGCGTAAATTATCATTAGCAACTTAATTACTTGCTGGCTCACGCTGCATATACTCCCATTTCTGTCAAATGTTTTCCAGGTTCACTCACCAGTTCCTGGCTTTCTCTCTGAGCCAAAATGGAAGTGGGTATAAAACCAAACAGTTCTGCAATGAAGGGCTTTGCCTTTTTAAATCCTGGCTGAAAACCTGAGACTTACCAGGCAGGTGCCTGCACGTGATCCCCTGTCAACCCGACAGTAACAGACCCACAAACCAACACATCCATTTGGTTTTAACTCATTTCTGCAATTTGTTTCTGAACTAACTGTTGAAATTTAAATAGCTGATCATTAACTAGCAGTTTTGATGAATAAACTTCATCTTCTCAGTTTCTTAATGTAGTTTTAATTTGTTCTAGCTGGTGCATTTGTTATTGGATCTGATGCATCTTACTTCCCCTGGCGTAAATCCAGAAGGCAGCACAAGAGGGAAGGAATGACAGAGAAAAATTAGCCCAATTCAAACAGTTAGAATGGAAATACCATAAGACTAACAACAGATAGGGCAAACATCTGAGTACATACTAAAGACTTCACAGGAGGCTGTAAAGGAATCCTAAACTAATAGGCATCACTGGAAGTTTAGCCCAGCCTCTCAGAAGCCACAAAACAGGATTTGCAATGTCAGATTTTAGCAAGTGAGCCTAGACCCTCCCTGTTCACATCCCTGAGAGACCCCCAAAGTAAATTTAAAACAAAAGTACAATAGAATTACTCCTGGGTATATTCTACTGTGCTTCCAGATGCAAATTTTACCTGAAGTAAGTCCTTAACCCCTAAAGATGCCAATAATGTAGGAGCAGAAATCATGCAGGGATTCCCAGCAATGTTCCCGTGCCAGTTTCATGGCTTCTGTTTCATTTTCAGACCATTGCCCTGCTCCTCTCATAGAAGTGGACATTTTCTGGACCGATTCTTCCTGGTTTGCTAGCTCTTCTGGCTCCACACCAGCAGCTATTTGCTTCATGAGAGCCTCTGGAGGAGCCTTTTGGCACATGGAGATCTTCAACACTTCCATGGATTCACAAGCATGAGGGATCTTTCTAAGTTCCGCGGCGATCTGATTCCAGTAAATCTTTGGATTGTTTCTGAAAGCACGACAGACTGAAGGCTTGCCAGTGAATTCACACCAGTAGGACATGTCTTGGCTTTTGCATTCAATTCTAAGTTTCATCTCATCATCCCCACTAATGCTCATTGTGCAAACGTCCTTGGTTTTAGTCCGAAATTTGATTTCTTCACCATTGCTTCTTTTCTTTGGCTTCAGCTTCTGCCCCAACCCTCCCGTGCCACAGATAACCACCAGAAAAAGAAGAGTAAAACTCTTCATGGTGAGAGGAGTTGACCGAGATCCTTGAGCAACACGATCCAAAAAAGTGAAAGCAGTAAGTAGATGGTTGTCCACAATTTAAAGGCTGGGCGCACAAAGAAGCCTCTTTCCAGCAAAACATGGGATGTAAGGGTTGGGCTTTTTTATAAAAATAAGAAACCACACTTCAGTAGGCATGTGCCTGTAATTTATAGCCTGAGGGAGTGCCGAATAACCTTGGGAGTGTGAACTCCCAAGAAGGTAACAAGACAAGTCTTGTAAAAGCAGTTAAATACAGAACGATAGTTGTATAACTGAGAAGCACATTCCTATTCAGGATGAACATGTCATATTTGATTTTTAACACATATTTTCCATTCTCCAGCTGCTTCATAGCTATCTTCATGCCAGAGCTTGTAAGACCATATCAAAGAAAAAAAGATAAAAGTGCCAAAGCAATCTCTGCAGCTACATCTGGATGATTATAAATGTGTCCTTGTAAAAAAGGCTGATTTGTGCAACGGGTTTTCTGTGGATTTGCACAGTAAGGATGCAACTTTAGCACTTCATTTTGTCTGCACATGACATGCAGTGAGGATGCATGGAAGGATCAACTGCACATTCTTTGACCCATGAAAGATTTTTACATTTACAATACTTAAACAAGATAAGGAATAAAGCTTGAGCAAAATAAGGTATTACAGGTCTAAACATACACCAAACATTTGGAAGTCTTATCATCACTGTCACACTGTGAGTTACTTTCAGCCAACAGAGCAAGACATCAGAACTAACTTATCATGGGTCACAGCAGCAGGAAACAGACTACAAAGCATGTCAGACAGATATTTGTGCTTCATCACTTTTTACCTTAAAAAAAAAAAAAAAAGGTATTTTCCTGTTCATAAAAAGTGAGCTGTAAAAATGACATAAAATAAAGGCAAGAGGATAGAAATAATTTAGTGCAGAAACCTGTCCTAGAAGTTTCTGCTGCATTAACTAAAAGCAGAGCTGAGGAAAAATCACTGTAACTCCCTTGGCATTCAGAAGGTCATGAGGAAAAGTCCCTCCCTCGCTGTGGTAAGACACAGTTCTTTTCTGGCTAATTAGACCCCCACCAGGCACTTCTTCCAAAGACATCTATGCTGCACCCAGCCTGACCGGACCAGCTTCTGGAAAGGAGTATTGTATTGTTTAGGTACGCAACTGTGGGGTGCTAGAAACCCTGGGGTTAAGACTGGTCATACAGAACAGAACAGAACACCAATTTTTGTATCTAGTCACTCATCAGGCAGCATTGAAGAAAATACCAAGGCAAAAACATTCATTTAACACAGAGGTCAAAGCAGAACAACAACAACAGAAGCTTCTTGGGGCAGTCGAACAAGAGTCCCAGCTGCCATGGGGGAATCTGGAAATTGCCCACTTGAAGATGAAGCCACCTGGAACAGCCATTCTGGGTATCCCAAACCTTGTTCTTCCAGTCAATGTGTCATCAAGTTCCCCATGACTAAATATCATTTAACAGAGAGAACAACCTTGTTTTCTTTTCATCCTTTCTCTAAGGCTATTTTAGTAACATTTTTAGTAGAGGCCTCATCTCTATTCTTCCTGTTACTTTCTCCTGTCTGTCTCTTTCAAGGCACAGTGTGTGGCTCTCCAGCCAAGTCTGAGGAGAATAACAGTACAAACCTACTTAAGACTTACACTCTTAGTTGTTTTCCAGGGTGTCTTATCACGCTTCAGCCAGCCAGAGAGAAGAATCTCCTTGCCCACATCACACTTAATTTCAAGGATTTCAAACCCCTACTGCAAGCACTCAAATGCCTCATAATATTTGACAAACAACTGTATTGTTTGCACTTTGTTATGCACAACAGCACTGACAGTTCTTAGATTAGAAACTCAAGACATCTGTGTCTCTCGTTACTTTATACCAGTTTCAGATCTCTTGTTCTCAAACTTTTCAAGTTTAATCATGAAAACAAATAAATTACAAGGATAAGGATAAATACCAAAGCTTGGATTCCAGTATATTTATGTACTACAGCTATTAGGTTACTGCCAAGCGTTTGTCTCACTCCCATCTGATTTTTGTGTCCTCTGCCTGCCCATGCTTCAGATGAAACAGCTCACGGTCTCTTGTATCAACAGAAAACCATTGTCCTTTTACAAGGTAAGCTAGACTGCCAGCAGTGAACTGTGCGAGCTGAAGAACTAGCAAATGTTTAATTCTGCTGTCAGGGCTCCAGAAACAGGTTATATGGATATACTCCACAACTCATCAGCTTGAATCCTACCATCTTTGCATAATTCACATTGTGAATTTGCGGAAGTTGGAAGCTCCCTCACCCAGAGTCAATGTTCTTTCAGTCCATCCTGCTCCAAAAACAAAAGTCAAATACAGAAGAAATTTTTATTCAGGGTAAAGAAATTGATTTTCCTAAGATTTTAACTCAGTGTAACTTTCTGAGACACATCTACAGAACAAAACAAGTGAGAATCAAACATCAGGTAGTTAAGCAAGTTCTTTTTTATTTAAATGAACTGGGAACATTTTCTCAAATTAAAAATAGAAACTTTTAAAAATCTGCAGTTCTGAACATTACATATACACATATGCTACATACTGTCAATTAGAAATGTTTCCATTTATGACGTAAAAATTAAAAATTTAAGGTTATTCTGGATTAAAGACTCGTATCACTTTTCAAGCATTTCTTAAAAATTATAATAATGACTTAGAGAATTATCCCTACTTCAACATAATGAACCTTGATGGAAACGAAGTTGACAATACTGATATATGAAGAGATTATTTTAGATCAATATATCCAACCACTTCACCTGCCAAAATGTTTTAGACTGGTAACACACATTTGGCCTTTTGATGAATTCTGTTGTTAACTAATTCAGCAATGCAACTGTCTGCCTAAATTCAAGGCAATAACTCTTAGTAACACAAATGTTAACTCCATTGCTAAACATATTTGAATTTTAACATTGGATATCACAGTTTAAAATTATTTAGGAAGAATAGTATCACTGCCCCTGAAAGAGCCACAGTGATACTATTAAGGATGTTACAGAAGTGGGTGTCAAAGAGGAAAAGGAAGACAGAGAATGTAAAGCATTCTAAAAACTGCCAACATAGGACATCCCTCATGCTCTTTTTGAGTACTACTGGACTCTAGAAAGCTTAGCTTTTTCACTATATTATGCAACCTGCACGTTCCCAACCCTCCCTCCCGAACTTTAAAAACAAACTTCTTCAAAAAGTCCCTTTTAGGTCTATACAGCAAAACCCACTAAATATTAAATAGTTAAAAAAAAAAAAAAAAGGAGGAAGAAAACAAAACTACAACTGAACTTTTCAGATGCACAAAGAGACACAGTGGAACCCATTAAAATTCAAATTTAGTCCAATGTGGTCATTCAAGAGCACCAAATAGCAACACTGATCATGCTGGTAAATTCATTTGTGTAGAGTATTATACAATATTAAAATCTTAACTAAACACTTAGAAGTTTTAAGAAAAATGTATATACAAAAGTCTCTGTATACAAAATGTATTTTTATGTAAACGTGTATGTACTGTATTTAACACAAATCAACAATTTAAGATAAGAACTTGAACAACTGTCAGAGAATTCCTAGGCAAAGGCTGTTAATCTAATTAATTTACAGACTGTGATGTAAGGTACAAAGCCCAGTGTAAAAAAGTAAAAAACAAAAAACATTTTAATTCAAGCCTTGAACAGTGGTATTTGAGAGGCAGTGCCCTGATCTCAAAATATTCTGTACAGTAGTTTATGGCATAACATTCAATAGTACATTTGGGGTTTACAGTACAGCTGACGTAAAGCAAGTGGCTCAGGATTCATCAGATGAATGGAAATGCCAACACACTTGGAAAAATAACGATATGCTCCCATAGAAGAATCTTGAGCCTCATTAACATAGCCTGGAAATAATAACAAAAACAATTCAGGAAAATCTGATAAAAAATTGATAAAGACAGAATTGTAATGTCATTTAACCAGAACAAAGGCACAGAATTTCGTAATTTTTTAAATTTTTAAATCTTAGAGCACCTTAGAGAGTTACAGAAATCAGAGCAGCCTTCTAATAGTAAAGCAGTAATAGACCTAGAATTTACTTAAAAAGCTTATTACTTACCCCTTAATGTTTCCAGTATGTGTTACCACTGTTCCACAGAGCTGTACAAGAAAAAAAAAACAGAAACCAAACTCATCATTTTCTTTTGCCCACAAATGGAACAGAAATACTCTGTCTAACTAAGGTGAGACAAGATCAGTTGGCAAAGACTCTTCTCAATCTTTTACCCATTCAGTCAAGCATTTTTCAAACAAGAGGAAATAAATTGATGGTTCTCTCCACCAGCCCTTCTGGTTATCTTTGTTTCATGATAGAAAGAAATGCCTGGATTGCCTATTCAACACAATTCCTTTGCAAATTTAATCCAGACTCTTATTTTGCTCTCACAAAAATGGTGGCTGCATTTGAGGTTATTTTTATCTTTGACATGTATATGAAAACACCTGTGTGAGACACATACACTGCACATAGCTCTCACTTGTACTTACATATCTTAGTGTTATAAAAATATTTGCCTCTCTTTCCAGCAAAATAATCCACCTGATTTTGGAGGCCATAAAAAATCCCAACCCTATGGGATTCTTTAAACCTGCAAAAGCACAGGTGTACAGAGATCTATTCAAAGTCATATCTGTCAAAGTATCTCCAAAAATAATTTGTAGGAAACGAAAAAAAATCAAGGATAAAAGCAAAGAGTATGCTGAAATGAAAATTAAAACCAAGACTTTATTCATATGGGAATCCCATACTGAGAAATTCAAAGCATGTATGCCATAATTAGCAGTTTTTCAAATTATCTCAGTTAGCAGATCAGAAGACAGCACTACTTCAAACTGAATGTTTAAATTTTATTATGGAAGCCCATTTTAAACAACTCAGAATTTAGGAAAAGTCAGGACTG